CTATGCATATACAGTACCGTAGTGTATTTGTGAGTATGTATAAAAGATAAGATAGGGACGAGTACTCTTCTTGATCTAGTGTTAGTGTGAGATTTTTACAAGAATCAGTTCAAAATCCGACAATGGCGGTAGAAAGCTGACCCTTTTTCATCCGAAACCAAGCGGGATGTCTCGTGGACTACGTCCAACTGAACGTCGAATTAGAGCCGAACGGTTGCGGGTCAACAGGAATCAGTCTTCATCTTCTGGTAAGATCGAGCTTCGAATCTCTTCCACATGAAAGGATCTCAAAAACACAACATCTTAGGAGATTCATCGAAATCCAGTCACTCTTCGTGTCGACAAATAGCAAAGAATAGGAATTTATCCAAAGCCACTTTGGGCACAGTTTTCCTCGAATGGATTGTGAAATAACGTACAGAATTACAAGGAGGCTATGGGTTTCCAAGTAAATTATACAAACAAACTGAAATTTAGCTAAAAACTACATGACTCGATTAGAAGCTTGGCTTTTTCAAGAGTCACTTTTGGTTCCGAAACTATTGGTCCGATGTTTGGATGATTACTTTGCCAACTGGTGGCATGACAGATTGTTTGCAAGACTTGCTTGCTTTCCCTTGCCTTGCTTTCCCAAAAGGTATTCTCATTAGAGCAGGAGTGCACTGCCGTTTCAACCTCACCACAATCGGTCTCATCAGCAGCCTAGCGGGACTCGAAACCGAATTGTGGTAGCGAATTGTGTGGTCATCCAGCACACCCGACTTCCACGAGTTGCCTTGGGTCACCGGATAGGTGTGAATTTCATGCTATATCACATTCTCTGGCTAGATTGTCGATAAAGCAAAGTGTTATTTGCTATGAGAATGGATTACATTCCTTATTTTTCGTTAATAGGCATATCTTATATATATTTATATATGCATACCATGCACACAAAAAAAATTCAATTAGACATATTCACACGAAAATCTACTCGTACCCACATGCAAACGCACAAATATGCAAGTTTACTGATTGCTAATTAACTTTTTAATACTGTAAAACCTCTCTTTAGAAGGAAAAAAGTAAGTATTATAGTCAATCGCTATAGCAAACACAACTTTCCTTCATCGAAAATCCCACCAAAGAATGTGATAGGCACTCGTGGCAGTCTGGATTAGTGGTGGCTGTGTCGAAATTATACAAGACAGTGTCATGGTTCGAGTCCCGCTAATGGTCTTATGCTGTTACCAAATCGCAATCCATTCCACACTGGATGAGAATACCTTTTTTGAAAGCAAGGCTATGGAAAATCAAATGGAAACGTCAGGTCTACTCATCACCTTACACCAAACTAATGTGAATACACCTTATATTAAGGCATAAAATTAAGTACTAAACCAATTTTTAGACTAAAATACTATCAAATAGTATATGGAAAGAAAGAGAACCGACGTTACTTATTGCTGGTTTCGGGCATAATCAAACGCATACAGACACGAACACATACAGCGACAGACACACTCACAGGCGGGAACTAATCAAATCACTTTATACCTGCTCAAAGAGGTCAAATGTAGAGTGTATATACCACTTTTTAGGGATTTGCAGGTGAGTTTTCTTGACTTGTTTGCTTCAATTTGGTTGTGACGATGATACCTTCGATGCTCTGATGATGTTTATCATACGACGGAGAAAAGCTAAGTACCTTTTCACCGTAATCGAAGGAGATTGCCTCGGCAACAGCGTCAGTATGAATCTTTCAGTGAAGCCAATCGACAGCTGGTCACGAGGAATCTTCCGTCGTCTTCTGGTGGACCGGCTTTCGAGTCTCTTCACGCAATACTTTTACTCGAAATTGAAGTAAGCTCAACAATCCTTTGTCATCGTTCGGTATTTGCGCCAGATCAAGATCTCGGGATCAAGACTTTACTTCACGGTGCAGCGCATCTCTCGTTCTTTTTATTCATAATGCCAAATTTATTACTTCCTATGCCTCAGTCACTTGCATGTTGTGGATCCACTTTGTTTGATTGAACTTCTTGCGACTTCTTTTCCTAAAATTGCCAATATTTTCTTGATCTAGCCATCTTCTTTTTTCTGATCCCGTCGGAGATTTATCACGAAATATGCAAATTTTTCTCTAAACCGGCCCTCTTCAAGTCTCCTGCTCAGCGGATTTATTTCAATCGAGATGCCCCTGACCTCTCATTTCTTGCGTTTGTAAGTGAGATCAACAATTCAGAAAATAATCATTCTAGATCGTTTAAGATAGTTGGGTTCTTCTCACAATCATCTATTTTTCCCTAACCCAAATGGTCTTACTGCTTGTCTCCTTTTGTCTTCTCCTTTCTGCAGCCGTTCTGAAGGATTTCCTGCGCGAGCTGCCCGAGCCGTTGTTCACCAACGCTCTCTACCCGATGATCTACGATGCGGTACAGGTGACTCTGCCCGGCGATGCCCAGAACGGAGCCAAGTTGATGCTGAACATCCTCGACTGTCTGCCTGCCGTCAATCAGGTTAGTCCTTCGTGTCCGTCAGTCAGTCAGTCAGTCAGTCAGTCGGTCAGTCGGTGACCTCCGTTTGTCCCCGTCCTCGTCCACTCGTGCTGGCTTGTGCGCGAAGAAGTTGTCCAAAACCGGGCTAATGGGAGATCGGGCCGCCCGAACAGAGAGATCCGGCCAGCAGGGTGGGGAAGGTGGGGGAGAACGGCTTGTCTATGATGGCAGAACTCGAGAGAGAGTAGAGGAGCTTCTTTACAAGGTGACTGGAGCAGGGTACTGAACAGTTTGTCATCCATTCACACGCAGTCTTAAACACACCACTTCACGTGTACATATACACGTTTGTTTACAAGCTCACGATTGCATACACGCAAAGTTTAATTAGACATACACACAAAGATAAACACACAAACATATTCATTCACAATTCGACTCGTACCCACATGCAAACACACACATATGCAAGTTTCCTGATTGCCAACTATTTTGCACTCTTCTCTTCAGTTACGCAAACCTACGCACATTCATACATACATACGTACACACGCACACACACACACATTCATAAATCCATTCGTTTACACACACACAAATATGCTCATCCGCTTACAGGTCTAGTCGTACACTCGATTTCAATCATATAAACATATACAATTTTTCACTCATTTATTCCTAAAACCATTCATCCGCACACAAAAATATGTGACCACCTCCTACCCACACATCCTTTCACATAAATCCATTCCACTACACACACACACACACACACACATACACACACACACAGTCACTCAGACACAAGTTCACCCACTCACGCGCAGCTACACAAATGCTCGCTCTTCTTTCGTCACATTTGCCCCCATCAATGCAAGCACACACGAATCATTGCACTCATTCTCTCATTCATCTCTTCACACACATTCATTCACACGAGCATTTGTACACCAATTCGCATACAAGTGTACTCGATCAAATGCATTAAAATCCTACTGGTAAATAAATATGTTGAGGCCTACCCACTCAAATTGACATTTAAACACACATGCATTCACACACACTCTCACCAACGCACACAAATTCTTTCACACGTATACACACTCCTAAACATTTCTTCCGATATAAATGTACTCGAGCACACTTAGTTAATCATATACCAGGATAGAAACGCAATTATCCAAGCATATTCTCAAACACACACAAACACACACACATTAGAGTGGACATTTGCGTACCATTCTTCATTCGAATATACACTTACACACACTCTCTTTCGCGCAGTTATTTTATCCCATTCCCTCTCAAAGAGACAAATGTACTCGAGCACACACATTCAATGAGATACCGAAAGAAATTTGCAACCATCTACCTGCTTTATCGCCCTCATACAGTTTCCCTTATTCACACAAGCATAAGCTCAATCACACACATACCCATACATGGACACTTACTCATACACATTTGAGCATACATTCACACAATCCCTCGTTCGCATTTTCAGACGATATTTCAGATACAATTGTACTATGAAATTCGTATTTATTCAGGATATGGATGAGAAAAAAATGATGAGCTGAACTTCGGCCACGACTGCCTGTGGAACCTGTAGGCTTCATACTCGAGTATGGAGAAATAAAATGCAGAGTTTGCTCGTCTTCAATCACAGACCCTTTGCTTAGAACCCTTCGCAGTCGTAAATGAAGTGGACCAAGGCAAAATTTCCCGTCATATTCCGAATCCCAGTATCTGACCTGTCGTCAAGATGAGGTCTCTGTGTGTGTGTGTGTGTGTGTGTCCTTCTCGCCTACTTCGCAAAGCCTTTTGTGGCAGAGATTGAGGTACAACTTGTCTGCAGGCAAAGCCGAGCCTCTATTTCGGCCAACCTGCGCTGGATCGCGAAAGAATTCCACCCACTTTGAGGCCTACCCACTCAAATTGACATTTACTCACACATACATTCACACACACTCACACTAGTTGACACGGATTCTTTCACACACATGAACACTCGTAAACATTTATTCCGATATAAATGTACTCGAGCACACTTAGCTAATCATGTACCAGGATAATGATAAGCAATTGCCCAAGCACATTCTCACCTTCTCACATACTTTCCTTCATTCACACAAGCATTGGCCCATTAAAACACACACACACAGTTTGGGGCCAAAAAACGTTGGCAGCTGATCCGAAGTTACCTCGGGCGTGGCGTTTTCGTAAGGTGAAGGGCGATTAATGAAATTCGGCTCATTCTCAGTCGGAGCTTTATCAATTTGTCGTCTTTACAGACACACACACACACACACACACACAC